AGTGGTATTACCAGTACTTGGCCATCATGTTTTCAAATGATAATTTAAGCATCACATACTTTACCAGGGAAGGGAACAAAACATGAGATGTTCTGCAAAAATGTTCAATCTTGTTTTCTGTTGAGACAATATGTACGTTGGTTACTTTGCCATTTTCCAGTACAGAGGAAGCCCACTTCTTACGTTCCAAATGAAAAAGGAAAACTCGTAATTAGATAAGACTATCATCTCAGTTATAGGAGTCAGGTGTACTCTCCCCAAAGACGCAATGAATATGAAATGTTCAAGGAGCTTGGTTCTCCTGACAAGGTGAAGATGGGCAGGGTTCACCCCTTCCAGACTCTTTTGAAAAAGAAAAAAAAATGTTACCAGCATAGGGTTGAAAATCCATTACCTGTAAAAACAAATAGTTCTTTAATACTAATACAAATACGTAAATAAATAAATATTATCTTAATATCTTTTGTTGAAAAATTTTCAACTTTCTTTTCAAGTCCAAAATCTTTCACTTGCTGCTTTATGAAAAATAATCAGTCAATTAATTTAGGGCCTGGAAAGAAGTATCTTCTGATCTTCGACTAAGAATTCCCCTGAAATAAGAAACCAGCTTTTTGTTCAACATAAATATCAAACTTTATGTTTATTTATATCAATCAAGTTTCATCTTCTAGATTCAGATGAAGAATCTGCCTGGGAGAGATCCTTAAGGCTCCTGATTATGTCATAACAATCCATTCACCATCCCTACCAAATTCTTGTGATAAGCAGATTTTATACATGTTACAAATGTCCTCCTCCAAGTCATTAAAAAATTGTTGAACAAGACAATCCCAAATTTCCAGTTCTGCAGTATGACACTAGAAAGTCCCCTCCAGGATTGCAGGGAGCCATAATCAGCACCTTTTGGCTACAGTAAATTGACCAAGGCTGAATTCACCAAGCTCTACTGGGCATCCAGCCTATGCTTCTGTGGCTCATCCAAAAGGACGTTGTGAAAAACGCTAATATCTGCTTTCTGGATGCCCTCTTTTTAGTTCCTCTCTGAATTCCTACTTTTAAACTCAGTCAAGTGGTTTCACAGACTGGACTAGTGTTTATTTAACTTTTGTAAGGAAAAATATTTCTAATGCAGAGGTATTTTTAAATGTCTGTAAAGTTCCTTAATTAAAAAACGCCAAATTCATCTATACACCAAATAAATTGAAATAGCCCAATGCACACTATTCTTAGCTCAATCTGCCAGAGCACATTTGCATAATATCGCAATGTACTGATTTCAGCTGTTTGTAATATCAGGACCAGACGGAGCAAGGCCAGGAAACAGAGTGGAAGTAGCAATGAATGCTACAGTACTGCTTTTCATTAATGAGAAGCTCAAAGCATGGCCTCTTACAAAATCACACTTGTCAGAGCCTTAAATGGGTACTGTCTATGGAGTATTGATTGATCTCGACTAGCCAGGAAATTAGAAAGAGGAGAGTCATAGTGGAACAATTCATCTTTGTCAATAAAAGGAATCTCTGTTTCTATGGGAAACCATCTCTCTCCTGGTCCGTAGGATGTAATCTTCAAGAACTGTATATTCTGTAGCAATTTTCATGTGTTTTCTTGGAAAGTCCTCCAATTGCAAGAATTATGTATGCTTCTACTTGTTATCTTAAGCCACTTGTAATCACATTCACCTCCTCATGTGAAATGCCACAGAAGTGAAATGTCCACCCAGCGCACCCAGGAGTTGCTTAGTATTGTAACATTTTAAATGGGGGATAGTTGTTATAATGGCCATGGAAACCCAAAATTATATTCTGTGATGTTGTCTAGAGGGCGATTTTTTTGCTTAGAATGTAGGTGCCATGGAAGCAGGGATGTTCCTTTGCTCAACACCATGTCTTCAGCACCCAGAAGCATGCTTGGCACATGGCGGACACTCAAGAATATTTGTGCGATGACTACATGGATGGACAGAGAACTACTTCAACACAGACCTACTGAGTTTCTGCTGGGGGCAGGTACCAGGTCATATGCTATTGGGACTGGTCTTTCATTTGTTCAATGGAGACCATGCCTATGTCTGAGGCACTGAGCTAGGTTCAAAGGGTCTAGCTATGGAAAATTTAGTGTGCCTTCTTAGAGCTTCTAGCCAGCTCAATGACAAGTAGCCAGAAGTAAAAGATAGATTCCCTGCTCTTGGGAGCTAGCTATTTTAAAATCGAGTTGAGAAGGCCAGACTTAAATGTAAGAAAGTTAAATAATGAGACTTTCTCACATAGATCATTCAAAGGCGGTCATTCCTTTTTTTAGGTATAGTCCTAAGCCTTACAGATTCTCTCTGCAATTAAGTTCATGTCCAGTTTTGTTTTCTGAGGGCTCAGAGGCTCTTCCCTCAAACACTTAATCCTACTCTCTCCTTTCTCCTTCACTCTATGTGATTCTCATTTATCATCTTGGCTTTCCTGCATCCTGTAAACCCCCAGTCAAACAGGAAACCAAATAAAGTGTGATGCGTCTTGTTTACTTTGAAACATCCCAACCTTTCTGCCTACACCACTGAAAGCAATCAAACTTCAAAGTCTGTTGGCTGTATCATCTCAGCACTTTTAATTTAGATGTAGTTACATTTGCATAACAGTTTAGCTGTGAATTTGGCAGGAAATTTCTGAAGAGTTATTTTGGTTCTACAGAGAGCGTGCCCAATGTCTAATAAGCAGATCTCCTGTGCGGTATTGCATTTTTATCATTACAAAAAAAGTACCCTGGAGGCTCATACCTTGGCAAAAGCTTTTTTGCTAACAAATAATACGATTAGCAGCATTGCTTTTCCTGAGAGTGATAATGTGGTAAAGCCTGTTGAATTTTTGAAACCATAGTAACAATACCGGAAAAAGTCAATGAAAAACGGTATTTTAATATTGTGTGGTATATATTTTTTTCCATTTGTTTTTATTGAAGTTTGATTTGCCAACATATAGTATAACCCCCAGTTCTCATCTCATCAAGTGCCTCCCTCAGTGCCCGTCACCCAGTCACCCCATCCTCCCCGCCCACCTCCCCTTCCACAACCCTTTGTTCATTTCCCAGAGTTAGGAGTCTATCATGATTTGTCTCCCTCTCTAATTTTTCCCACTCAGTTCCCCTCCTTTCTTCATATAATCCCTTTCACTATTTCTTACATTTGGAAGATGCAGCAAAATATAGACCAGGTAAAAATCACTCATAATCCTACTACCTGAAGCTAAGTACTTTAATATACGGAAATAAGTTGTTTGAGTTATTCTTTTGCTGTGTGTGTGTGTGTGTGTGTGTGTGTGTGTGTGTGGAATGAACTCAGGAGTGTATGCTTCAGGCCAAGGATGGAAAATAGGTGTTCTTTCTTTCACTTGCTCTTTTGCTTATTAGAGAAGACTGATGTACTGAAGAGGATTCTGAGACAAGGATACTATGATGGATTACTAATGCCTGCCTTATTTCTTTTATTCTTTTATCCTTTGTTTCTTTTTCATGACTTTGTATTATAAAAAATTCAAACATAAAAGAATCAAAATGATATAATGAAACCCCATGTACTTGCCTAGCTTAAGCAAGTATCAACTTTCTGCCACTTCTGCTTTGACTGTATCTGTTCCTTCTACTTCCCAAGCCACTTGGTTATTACATTCATACACTTCTTTTTTTAAAAAAATTATTTATTTGTTTGAGAGACAAGGAGAGCATGAGCAGGGGTGGGGTGTAGGAAATGCAGAGAGAGAGGAAGAAGCAGACTCTCCACTGAGCAGGGAGTCCAACACACAGCTTGATCCCAGGACCCTGAGATCATGACCTGAGAGGAAGCCAGAGCCAGCTCTCTAAATGACTGAGCCACTCAGGTGCCCTCATGCACTTCTTTTATAACTAAAAATGGCATATGTTAAAATGTACACATTTCAACTGCACAATTTTGAAAGGTAGATACATCCATGCAATGCACACCTCTGTTCAGAATGTTTCCTTCATAATCAGGCCTGCCCCTCCTCTACCTTGGAGACATCCAGAATTCTGAGTCTTCTAGAACTTCATATACACATACATATATAGTATATACACTTGTGTCCTGCTCCTCTGCTCAGCATAGTGCCTGTGAGATCCATCCTTGTTTTTTTTAAAGATTTTATTTATTTATTTGACAGAGAAAGGGAGACGGAGAGGGAAAGAGAGACCGAGCGAGCACACAAGCAGGGGGAGTGGGAGAGGAAGAAGCAAACTCCTCACTGAGCAAGGAGCCCAGTGTAGAACTAAATCCCAGGATAACGGAATCATGACTTGAGCCGAAGGCAGATGCTTAACTGACTGAGCCACCCAGGTGACCTGAGATCCATCCTAGTTATTGTGTACATCAGTAGTTCATTTGTTTATTGCTGTTTTTATGAATATACTATGGTTTGTTTATCCATTTTTCTGTTGATGAACACCTGAGCTATTTCCAGTTTGGGATATTATGAATAAAAGTGATATAAACATTCTGGTGCATAGTGCATGTGTCTGTGTCTGTGTGTGTGAGTGTGTGTGTGTGTGTGTGTGTGTCTGTGCATGTGTAGATAGATTTTTACATTTCTTGAATACCTGGAAGAAAATGGTTGGGCCATATAGTACATGTATGTTTAGTTTCATATAAGAAACTGTCAGACTTTTCCCACCCTGATAACAGTGTATGAGAGTTCTAGTTGCTGTACAACCTCATCCCTGTTAGGGTTATCAACCATGCTGGTGGGTATACTGGTATCACATTCTGGTCTAGTCATTAGGGTGACCAAGTGCTAGCACACACATTTCTAGGCTGAGGCCTGATCAGGGCCCAGTGAACATCAATGACATATCAGTGTCTATGGTGTCACAAAGGCCTCTCCCTGACCAATGAGTGGCTGGAGCATGGGGATAGAGAGGGCAGTAATGAGCACTGGGCACTGGTGTCTTGGGACAGTCAGACCAGCTGGACACTCGAGGTAGACCAATCAGAGCAAAACACCATGTCCGGGAAAAGAAGTAGTCAGAACTCCTGCAGGCTTGGGAAGCAGACACTCTCCTCTTCCACAAAAACCAAGTTGAAATTCTCTGTGAGCCATGAAGACCATCTCCTGCAGGAAAACCACCCTGCCCAGCACCTACGCTTCTCCAGCCAGGTTTGCCTCTCCGCCATTCTGAAATACGTGGCCACCAACATTCTGGAGCTGGTGGGCAATGAGGCCCACAATGACTGCAGGGTTCAAAGGGCAGTGAATAACAACATGCAGAGCAGCCACCTCTTTGGGGATGACACCACTTCTCAGGTCTCTGAAATGTTCTGATCCAGCAAGAACTGCTGATGCCTGGGTCCCAGAGCCTGGAAGGAGTCCACACAACCTCATCCAGTGCTGAGACTTCTCACAGAAGGAGCCTGTGCTGCTAACACCTACGCATGCCATTAAAGAATTGAATTCCAATTGAATTCCAGCAAGCTTCTGGCTCTCCTCAATTTTAGTCATACCGAGGTGAAGTCGTCCATGTGTTATCTAAGAGAATAAGTTCCATGAGTAGTTGGGAGGGATAGAGGACGTGGTCCGTGTGGGGTACTTGAATCAGGTGCCTTCAGAGGAGCAGTCTGCAATGGTACCAGTGTCGGGGGTGGCCCTGGTGGGGGCGCCTGGCTGACATAGCAGGAGTAAGAAGGCTTCCTCATTGCTTCTGAGGAAGGAAAACCTGGTGAGGCCAGAAAGTTGGCTAGTGGGGGGTCGGGTGAGGTTTCAAGGCTTGCTGAATTCCCAGAACACTGGTAGTATTTGGGGTGGGGCCGAAGATGAGGAGGTAAAGAAGGCTTCATTCATGCCAGGGAATGCCAACAGGTCAGAAGGAGATAGCAATGGGGCTGGGGGGAGAGGCTGGCATAGCAACTGGCATGCACTTAATGGCACAGGGGCCTTTACATGAAGATTGGGGAGCGATGAAGGAAATGGTAAACAAGTATACAGAGAAATTACAGGCCTGTTGGTTTCATTGATTATTTATTTATACCCTGTCTCATCCCAAAGAAGGACTTGAAGCAGGGATTATTAAACAGTGCTGTGATTCTTCCGGTAGAATATATCCTTCTGTCCTCTCTAGCGGACAAAAAATAGGAATATTGAATATAAGCATCCTCTGGCCTAAGGCATGCAAAACAAGCAGTTCTCAATGGTTATCAAATATTAATGAACGGATTTGTTCATGTATTCCATTGTAAATGCAATTATCAATCTCATTCTCTGATGAAATACCAATGAGTCTAATGATCATACATTTGATAGAACATCAGAGTTAAAATTGCTTAAATAAGTGTTTGAAAAGATGTATGTATATCCTATGTAAATTCTGCTCCAAAGAATAAAAGCAAATACAGTTCTTATACAAACACTTTCATGCACTGTATGAAGTCAAAAATAGATGTTGTGTTACATGTAGAAACCAGAGATGAATTTTTATGAACAATAACCATTCACCCTCCACTGTGTCATTACTTGAGGTTTTTACTTGTTCAGTCAATGCTCCAAGGCCACTCTATGCTGCACTTCTGGCCTTTTTGTAGAGGGCTGGTAACCTGAGGCCAGATAACTTGAGCAACAGAATTAGATGGACTGAGTTCAAAATAGCAACTCACCACTCACTGGCCATTTGATCTTGGACATCCACTTATTCCCTCTGAACAGCAGTTTCCTCATATGTAAAATGGGAACTACAAGTTCATCCATCTTTGGGTTTTTACAAGAATGAAGCAAATTTATGCCTGCAAACTGTCGTTTAGCACAGAGTACAATTAATGAGTAGCTACATCTATCTTCTTCCACATATACCAGATGTTTAGGCCTTGTTCTTCTTCTTCTTTTTTTAAAGATTTTATTTATTTGAGAGAGAGAGGGAGGGAGGGAGAGCACAAGTAGGGGGAGCAGCAGAGGGGAGAGAGAAGCCAACTACCCCCTGAGCAGGGAGCCTGACACGGGGCTCGATCCCAGGACCCCAGGGGATCAAGACATGAGCCAAAGGCAGATGCTTAACTGCTCTGAGCCACCCAGGCGCCCCCTAGGCCTGGTTCTTCCGTGACCGCTGGATGCTGGGGCCACTGGCTCTGAAAGCCATACCCTGCTAAACCTCATGGAGAGACAAAAGAGTACCATGAGGATAAGAAGTCAGAGTTCAAACAGAACTAGGCAGTCCACACACTGGGTTCCTCTTGGCTCCCCACTGCCTGGCAACCTCCCCTATCTCTGCTTTCCACCCTTCGTCAAGGCAGAAGGACTCCGCGTGCCCTCTGCCTGCTACACAGGAGTACTCTAAGAATGAAAGTAATAGTACTGGTTGTGGGCTTGCAGCTCTTTGGAACATGTACTTATATAAATAAGTCCAGGAAATCTTCCTTGTCACCTAATGCTCATTAAATATATTTACAGATAACTCACTGTCAGAATGTTCACCCACAGAAATCGTGGTTTGTTAGGCCCACAAAGTCCTCCTTGCCTAAGCAGGCCTCTCCCCAGTAACTGCCAGTGGAGAGTCACCTTAAGATAATAACACCAACGTTGCTATCACCACCCCACCCCAAAATGGAGTATCTGTTGGCCCCAGGCATTGGTTTCCTGTATTACAATGCCCTTCAGCCTACAGAGAATGTCTGTGTGGTAGGGGATGCCAGAGAATTAATCATTATACTTAAGACTGTAGCATGTTGGTTAAATAGCTACTTTTTAAAAACTGCTCTTTTCTGGACTTACAGCTATTGCTTATAGCACGAAACACAGTCTCCCGGGTACTCCACTGAGCAGCCCAAAAAAGGGAAGTTGTTAAAGGTATCAAGAAGCCACAGTAGGTGGGTGGACCATGTCCAGGTTAGCATTCTCTACAGCCAGGACTTTGCAGTCCATGCAGGAGCCAGTAAGTAATGGTCAGTCATGACTCTTGTAAGGAGGCAGGCTTCTGAGGCTCTTTCAGATACTCCTTGATGGCCGCAGTGAAGTTTGAAGGCTGAGCCCTATGGGGAGTCCCACAGGTGTGAGGCCAAGGGGCAGAGCAATACCACCAATGCCTTTAAAGAACTGTGTTTCAGCTGTCCTTGTGACTTTTACAGGAAACATGGCGACCAAGATAAACATAGCATCTGGCCTGGACTTTGCCTATTCATTTCTTAAAGATATCTTCTGAGGAGGAGAAATTTTTAATTTTTATGAAATATAATTCTTCAATATTTGATCTTATTTTCTGTTAAATTGTGTATTACATGGAATTATGTTTATCTTATTACATTGCTAGGATAATTTCATTAAGTCATATGTATTTTCTTAATTTTTATTTCTTTAAAGATTTTATTTATTCATGAGAGACAGAGAGAGAGGCAGAGACTTAGGCAGAGGGAGAAGCAGGCTCCCAGGAGGGAACCCGAAGCGGGACTTGATCCCAGGACCCTGGGATCACAACCTGAGCCAAAGGCAGATGCTCAGTCACTGAGCCACCCAGGTGCCCCCCTTTTTTCTCTTTAAATATTTTATTTATTTGTTCATGAGAGACACAGAAAGAGAGAGGCAGAGATACAGGCAGAGGGAGAAGCAGGCTCCATGCAGGGATCCCAATGTGGGACTTGATCCTGGGACTCCAGGATCATGCCCTGAGCCAAAGGCAGATGCTCAACCGCTGAGCCACCCAGGTGTTCCCCCTTTTCTTTTCTTAAAAAAATATTTTATTTATTTATTTGAAAGAGAGAGAGAGCACACAAGCTCAGGATGGGGAGGGGGAAGGGCAGAGGGAGAAGAAACAGCCTCCCTGCTGAGCAGAGAATGGGACTCGATCCCAGGACCCCAGGATCATGACCTGAGCCCAAGTAGGTCCTTAACCGAATGAGCTACCTATGCACCCCTAATATAATTTCATTTTAATTAGAAACATGCTCTGTAAAGTTTCAAATTTTTTTGAAATTTATTGAAACTTGATTTGTGTCCCTGAATATGGTCTATCTCGGTATACATTCCATATACATGTAAAAAGAAAGCCTATTTTGCAGTTGTTTGGTGTTTAATTCTATAAATGTCAATTTAGGTTAAGGTGGTTGATAGTGTTCTTCAGATCTTCTATATACTTACTTATTTTCTATCTAGTTTTATTAGTTATTCAGAAAAGATGTTTTGAAATCTCTGATTATGTTTATGGGTTTATATTTTCTCTCTTTAATATATAGTCAAATTTGTTTCATTAACTTTTTTGGTTGCTTTTCAGGCACATTCAGAATTGGCATTCTTCTGTCTTCCTGATGTATTATTTATTATCATTAAGAAATACCCTTCTTGGGAAGCCTGGGTAGCTCAGCGGTTGAGCATCTGCCTTTGGCTCAGGTCATGATCCTGGAGTCCCAGGATCAAGTCCCGCATTGGGATCCCTGCATGGAGCCTGCTTCTCCCTCTGCCTATGTCTCTGCCTCTCTGTGTGTGTCTCTAATGAATAAATAAATAAAATCTTTTTAAAAAAGAAATACCCTTCTTAAAAAAAAAAAGAAGGATGCCTGGGTGGCTCAGTGGTTGACTGCCTGCCTTAGGCTCAGGTCATGATCCTGGGGTCCTGGGATGAAGTCCTGCATTGGGCTCCCTGAAGGGATCCTGCTTCTCCCTCCACCTAGGTCTCTGACTCTCCCTGTCTTTCATGAATAAATAAGTAGAATCTTAAAAAAAAAAAAGGAAAGAAAGAAAAGCCCTTCTTGGGGTGCCTGGGTGTGTGTGTGTGTGTGTGTGTGTGTGTGTGTGTATGTATATATATATAGGGATATATATATAGGAATATATATATAGGAATATATATATATATCCATATCTCACTGTCTTTATCCATTCATCTAGTGATGGACACTTAGGTTGTTTCCATGTCTTGGCTGTTGTGAATAATGCCACAATGAATATGGGGGTGTGTTTTAATCTTCTTTGGATATATACCCAGAAGTGGGGTGGCTGGATCTTATGGTAGTTCTATTTTTAATTTTTTAAGGAACCTCCGTACTGTTTTCCTTAGCAACTGTACCAATTTACGTTCCCACCAACAGCGCATCAGGGTTCCCTTTTCTCCACAACCTTGCCAACAGTTCTTTTTTTGATGATCGCCATTTTAACTGGTGTGAGGTGGTATCTCATCATGATTTTGATTTGTATTTTCCTGATGATGAGCCATGTTGAGCATCTTCTCATGTGCCTAGTAGCAATAGTATCAGTAGTATATCTTCTTTGGAAATATATCTTTTCAAGTCCTTTGCCCATTTTTAAATCTGATTGTTGGGTTGTTTTGTTTTGTTTTGTTTTGCTATGCA